CACTTTTTCATACGTTCAGCTGTGATATTGGTAGCCTTATAACTCAAAAACACAACGGTATCTTTTTCTAAAAAATAGCATGGCATGGAGTACAACCTGTGTACTTCAAACTGACGTAGAAAACGGAAAGGGATACATTCAAATTTGTTAACTTTTTCATCGGTTAAGTTGCCAGAATCTACACCCATTTTATAGTGAGTGCGGTTTTCCTTTTGGATAAAAACACAAAATTTGTTCTTTTCTTCGTTTGTTGCTTTATAGCTATTTCTACATGCACACAGAAGGTGCATTGACAGCGATGTTGACAGCTCTGTATCTCAAAAATTAGACTGTACCCTTTTCTAAAAAACAGCTCGGCATAGAGTACAGTGTGTGTACTTCAAATTGTCTTAAAAACTGGAGAGGGGTACTTCCAAATTTGTTAACTTTTTAATCTGTCAAGTTGACAGAATATACACTCATTTATAGTTACACCGTAATTATCACCATAATTATCAAGCCATTGTTAAATTTGAACATTTCGCCAGTATCATTTTTGCCCGACTTAGCGATGTTCATAATGTGGCGACCTATTATTTGCAGCATTGCTAGCAAATCGGTAATAAAATTCATTAGACATGCTATGAAGAAATACATCAGCTATTAGAAAAGGAAATCGAACCGCAATTGATTGATAATGCATCCGATGATAAATAGGATATAACAATGAATAGAATGAGATATTATTATACGCGTTGAGTATTTAATTTTCGTTTATTTCCTATTCGCATATTTCAGTGTAACGGGTAGGGTAGCTTATAATAAATTGCCCTTGATATTAATACATTTTTCTATGGCTTTGTATTTATAAAAAGAATTTCTTTATATGGCAAACAACAGAGAATTTAATTTTCTACAACACGGTATATTCTTTTTAAGATTAATCCTTGATGTATCGTGCAATAACTCTAACAACAAAAGCTCCAAATTTTTCAACTATACTAATACTACAGTAGACCATTCTAAAGTACAAACTGCTCTCGTTCTTTTTAATTGTTTATAATTAGCACAAAAAAGTTTTATATAATTCTATTAAGGTCAGATGATGCAGAATTGTATGCTTTACAAGATAGTTTACTTGAAGTTACTTTACCTCAAAATAGATAATAAGATATAATTGGTTTCATTTATGGATAAGGTTTGAATAAGAATTAAAAATACAAATTAATGTGTAAAGAATTTCACTTTATAAGACAAATAGCAGCTAGAAATGGTTGTCCAACTCAGTTTATTGAAAACCAAATTAGAAATACTCTGAATCGATACTATGATAAAGAAAATCAAATTAATCAACAGATTATTTCAACCAAAATTAAACCTGTCGATATTGAAACATCAAAAATTAAAATCAATCAATGTATAGTGTTAGATGTACCATTTACAGGACAGACTTCTAAAGTTTATGGTAAAAGACTTCGAAATTTAGGCAAAGCAGTTAGGCCAACCACAGTTTTCTTAACAGTTTCTCGTCCACCACCGACCGTTAGAGAAAGTTGTCGTAATAAAGATCCAATTCCAAAAGATATGCAATCCAAATTAGTCTATAAAATTGAATGTAATGATTGTGAATCGGTCTACATTGGAGAAACAGACAGACAAGCTGCAAGACGTTTTGAAGAACACGGATGCATATCAAATCTATTGAAATCTGGCAAGAAACCTCCTCCTCCTACTGCTACTACATTAACCACAACTCAACCGGTAAGACAATCTCAGAGGCAGCGACATAAATCTAAACTCTATGAATTTGAGGAGGAAGATATACCGGAGGACCAGGCGGAGGATAATGTTATTCAAACGTTTGAACAACATGTGCGATTTAAAATCGGCAATCACAGTTCACGAACGTGAGAAAAAGCATCGAATGAACTGGGCGAATTGGAAGATTTTAGCTAACGGTTCAAACAGATATCGATTAAAAATTCATGAATCCTTACAAATTATAGCATTTAAACCTGACCTAAATGAAACAGTCAGATCACTGCCATGAGTCATATTACCTGAAGGACAAGTAACTCTTAACAGAAAAGAAAAACAGTGAAAATGAAAGGAATTTAACTTCATCCTCTATGCACATTTCATTCAAGCGTGTGTTTGTTCACTTTGCTAATGTCTAGTTTTTCCATAGTGTAAATTTTAGATGAGATTATGTTATTTTCACCTAAAGATGATGTCTTAGACATCGACAGTGCTAGTGTTTTATAAATAAATGAAAATGAAATTGTCTTCTGCTGTTAAACTTGTTTTATTCAGATAATAAGACATAGACAACCTTTATTACTATGGAAAATATAGCTATTTTCTTTAACAGCAAATAGCTATACTTTTCATTCTGACAAAGATCGTTTATATCTTATTAGCAATGTTAAAATTTCTCATCTTAAAAAATGATTCAATTAATTTATCTCAGTTGCTAATGGAATACTAGATACCGCTAATAGCGATATCTAGTATGGATTAAAGATGGGTCCAAAAAGCAGGGGAAAATGACCTTTTTCTTTACCTAAAAAAGTTATTTCTCATTACACAAAAGAGCATCATGTTGTAGAGCGTTCATTGCTGAATTTTTCGTATACCTTGTTTTGTTGAATAAGTGATTTTTTAGCAAGATTTTGCACAGAAAATCGATATTTTGAAGGTGCAGTTAAAAAATTTGGAGCTGTTTTTGCTAGAATTACTGCACCAAACATCAAAGATGAATTAGTGCAATTTATTCAGAGATGTCCGGTGTACGTAAAAGTTCTAAATTTGACATTAAGCGATGTTGTGCGATGGGGATGGAGTTGAACCTTTTGAACTTCTAGAATTTGAAAAACCAGTTTTGTAGAGAATCCGGTTCTCTAGGAAGCCATATATTGGTCAATCTATAAACGAACAATAAACTCAATATTCAAAACAAAGCTCTCTCTCCTTTTTATTTCGATCTAAGCAGTTAGAAAATTATCTCTTTTAAATTACGTGAAAGACTGAATCTTTAAGTATCTCATAGAAGTATTCTAATCGAAAATAACAATAACAACTTTTCTACATCAATAGTAGTTACTGTAAGACATTTTTTGAATTTTTACTATTCTCTACAATTTTTTATTCACCAGAATACGTATTTTGAGATACTAAATTGTTCAGAGAAGATCTATATCAAATATTTCTCTTATTTCTTTCTGTAAAGGGAAATAATTGATTATGATTATGTCTTTCTATACATACGAGAAAAAGGAAGAAACCTGAATGTGTGGACATCTTCCTTTATTAGAAATATTTGATATAGATCTTCTCTGAACAATTT